CCCGGCCCCGCCCCTACTGACGTCCCTCCAATCATCGCGCGCGGCGCGAGCCGGGCCCCGCCCCCCGCGCGCTCGCTGCCCATAAAACCCGCGGGCGGCGCGGAGCGCGGGAGCGGCGTGAGGGGAGCGGGACGGGACGGGACGGGACGGGCGGCGGGACCCGCTCCAGGCACCGCGGCTCGGCCCCGGCCGCTCGCCAGCCGGCATGCTGCTCGTGGCCGCCGGGCTCCTGCTCRCCGTAGCGGCGGGCGGGCGGGGGTCGCCGGCCGCGGAGCAGGAGAGCCCTCCGGGCAGCCGCTTCGTGTGCACGTCGCTGCCGCTGGACGCCGCCGGCGCGGGCTGCCCGCTGCCCCCCGTGCCCATGCAGGGCGGCGCGCTGCCCCCCGAGGAGGAGCTCAAAGCCACGGTGCTGCAGCTGCGGGAGACCGTCCTGCAGCAGAAGGAGACCATCGGCAGCCAGCGGGAGGCCATCCGGGAGCTCACCGGGAAGCTGAGCCGCTGCGAGGGCGCCGACGGCAAATCCGCCTGGAAGAACGAGGTGGGCAAGGGCAAGGACACGATGGGCGACCTGCCGCGGGACCCGGCGCAGGTCATCGACCAGCTGAGCCGCACCATGCAGACCCTGAAGGACCGGCTGGAGAGCCTGGAGGTAGGGCTTACCGTCTAGCGGGCACTTCGGGCACGAGTGGTGCGCTAAATCCTTACAGAGAGAGAGATCCGAACTCTCGGGGGCTAGCCGCTCGGCTGGCCTGGCGCGTTCTTTTGGTTGTTTATCGGCTCGCTTTAGTGGCAAAACCCCTAAGGGGCTGCTCTTGGATGTGTTCTCCCGCTGCGTGGGGGGAGATTATGGTTTTTCTGCTTGTCACCAGCTTAGTTTCTGTATTAATATGTGCAAATCTCTCTTTCTGGGGATGTGRCTTCATGGGGTTTGAGGTACAAAGCTGACGTCTTGGGCAGTAAGACCTGGGCATATGGTGCTGAACAGACCAGTAGTAATGAGGAGATTGTGCTGGGCAGATGGTGCAGATAAGATGATGTACTTAGAGCTGACATAGAATGAAAAGARCCCAATTCTGTGCGCCTCTGAGCAGAAAGGGGATTTGGTCCAAGCCCACCGATAAGTGATTTCCATGAGCCTTTTGGACAGTGCCCATGGTTTGAGTGCTGCTCTTGGAAATGTTTCATAGAGAGGATTCTCACAGGGTTTGTGCTGATGTTGTTTTGCTTTTCACACCCGAAAGCCTCACATGTTGTGCCGCTGTCCTCCAGTCGGTGCTGATGTGAGGATGGCGAGTAACTTCCGAAAGGCTGTTCTGTCAGAGCTGCTTTGCAAGCACAGTTTTGAATGAGCTCTTAGTATTAAAAGCCTTTTATTACTACTGCTGTCTTTCTGAAGCATTCTTTTTAGGGTTGTAGAAGAGAAACTCCTCTAGAATTACACGGTGGGTGGAAACATCGTTTTGTTAGTATCTTTAAAGATGCCAGTGTTATTTGAGAGCATGAGGTGCCTCTCTTTTTCAGTTTGAATAAGAATACTTTCACTGGTTCGTACTTACAGTTGCTTTAAAGAGCATCTGACTTTGGTAAATCTGCTCGCAAAGTAGCTTATTTTTAAATCTAAAATAGAGTGATAGTTTTTCTGTTTATTTATGTTGGCCATGTCACTAACAATAAGTAAAGCAAAAATTGACTGATGTGCCMCATGTATAAATACTAACAGAGAATTGCATCAGACCTGCTCCCTACATTGATTTTATTGAACTTAATTGTATGAAAACTCCTTCATAKGAAGTGCTGGAAGCGTCTACCAAAAATGCCCTTTTGTTTCAGGACCTGTTTAGCTACAGTGCTGATAAAAGCACTGAGCATGACAAGTGCTAAAAAGCAACRCTCTCTTGCTGGAGAGCTCCGTGATCTTACTTTCCTCCTCTGAATCGGGAGCACATCTGTGTTTCTCAGATTCCGTTTCAGAAATAACAATTGTTTTTTTGTTTCTGCTTTGCCCTGAAGCACCAGCTCAGAGCCAACGTGTCCTACGCAGCCCTGCCCAGTGACCTGCGGGAGATGCTGCAGCGGCGCCTCGGGGACCTGGAGCGCCAACTCCTGAGCAAAGTGGCCGAGCTGGAGGATGAGAAATCCCTGCTGCACAACGAGACCTCAGCCCATCGACAGAAGACAGAGACAGCCCTGAATGCATTGCTGGAAAGAGTGTCTGAATTAGAGAAAGGTAATTGCTCAGAATCCAAACACTTCCACACGCTGATTAATTTTGTTTACTACATCCAGAGCAGCAGACTAAATGTGAGCCTTGAAGGAAAGGCATTAAATACTGGGCTAAATAGTAGGTGAYAGTGCAAATACTTGGATTCTCCTTTTTCTTTTGTCACAGGCTTCTTGCTTGACAGGCAGTTGCCTGGCCTTGGCTTGCTGTCTCTTAATTTGGTGTGTGTGGGTGGCCAGGATGAAACTCTTAGTGTTTGTGGGATGGAAAGATCTATAAGSAGGCAAGTGGAAATAGGAATGAGTATGACATGGGTGTAAATAGCTCCATAATGTCAGGCACACATCTAAGTAGAGCTGCCTTTATTTGGACTGAGACTCACGGGCTAAATTTAATCAGCACAACTGCCTTTGATGTAGTGAATGGCATTTTATACCAGATTGGTTTCCTGCTGCTTTGCAAGTATTGATGGCCACCTTTGCTTTTGTTGCTGGTTATGGCTTTGGGTAACTGCAGATACTTGAATTGTGCCCTGTTCTAAACTTGCAGCCTTCAGAGTTTACAGTAGATTACACACGGTCCACTGGGGGACACTCTCGTAATCCTAGTCATTCATTCTGATTCTAGGTTTAATTATTACTGAGCTCTCTCTGCTTGAGTAGAGTCTGTTTATTTGAATTACAAATGTCTGTGGAAGTGACTGGAAACACAGAATTCTTTCTGYATTGACTGTGCAGGTACAGAGTGGACTGTGTAGGACTGCAGTAAATATCACTGCCCAATCCTTAAATGATTTTCCAAAGTGAATAACTCTCTGCTTAAAAGCAGCTTAATGACCATGCCTTCAAAATGGTACAAACATGCATATCTCATGAATTTAGAAATGCAGCCTAATGGACCCATTTGTGCTATACTGTATCTTTTCTTCTTTCATCTAAAAAGTGTGAAGGAGAGAAAAGGGAGGGAGGATCCTCTGCTGGCTCGTTTAGTATTTTCTGAGAGCCAAGATAAAGCCTAACCTGCAGCTGAGGTTCTGAAGAATTAGTGGCCTGTTAATGCCTTACGTGTCGAGTATAGATAGTCCTTGTCTCTGAGAGATGTGACTCATATCAGAAAGAGAGAGTGGTGGGAGAAGGAGAATGTGTAATTCACTTAGGCCAAAAATAACCTGTTCCCACCTTTATTTTTTGTGTGGGGAGTGAGGGCTGTCTTAAGTCTCCAGAGAAGTGAAGAATTTGGGACAGGAACCAAGATACAGTCTTTTAGTTGTGTAATTTGCTCTCTTACTGTACAGCTTAGCTGTTCTTGTTCCTCTGTCAAATCAAAGTGAGGACAATAATGATCTAAGAACACTTTTTTGTGTATTAAATGCAGAAAACATTTGATCTGACCTCATTTGAAAATAGTGTTTCTATTGTGTTTTTATTTAAAATGCAGTATTGTTTAGCATTTCCTYCCCACAACTAATCTGAGTTCAGAAGCTCCTCATGGTCCTGAGATTAAATAACCACCTCACCTTGAGGTGACACTGAGCTTTGGCTTTGATCTGTAGYTTTGACAGCTGTTTTAGTTACCAGTGGAGCAGAGGAGTTTAAAACTGGTACAGCTGTTGTGGTTCCCAAAGATYTCTCTTAATTCCTTCACTGGTTGTCTCCATTGACAGCAGGAGTTGATGCAGTAGAGAAAGCAGGAGGGATAATCCTGGTAGTGCCTGGATTTCAGTGTGATTCCTGGCTTTGCTGGAGGTACAAACAGGTCATTTACTACATCTGAACCTATTTTCTCTRTCTCTGAAAGGGAATAACAATTTTTCTTGCCCATCTAGTCCAAAAATACTTGCTCCTTTAATGGAGTAATTTGTTTTTTCTATRTGAGGTTGGTTGCAGCAGCCTCATGGATGATGTTCAGCATTAACCCTAAGACCCTGTTTTTTTTTAATTGCCTAGATTTTAGAATATTTCAGGTTTTGGTCAGATCCAAGAAAAAAAAGAAGCTTTTTCTTCTCCCACCCCCTCATTCTGTGCAAAATGCAGCCAAAACACTTCAGTTGCTTCAGAGAATGGGAACTGAGAGAATGATTTAAAGTATACAGATGAGAATTGTGGCAATCTTTTGTGACAACAGCTTTTCATTTGGACTGGAGTGTGAAGTTTGGCAAGGAGATTGAATTTGTTTCAGGAATGTGAGCAAAGGAAATGAGTGAGACTCAGGAGACTCAGAAGAACAGAATTTGAAAAAGTTGAGGATGATATTGCTACAGAATTGGGGTTTTATTTCGTGGCACAATGTGGGATTTATTTCTTAATACTTAACTCTAGAAAATTTCTTGAAATCATCTCTATCAGAAGTACACAAATATGTGAGGTAGCATATTGTAACTTCAGACAGTTTTGGTCTTAATGGTTCTCAGTTTTCTGAGCAAGCCTGGCATATCTCCCTGGTTTTTATTACCTCTTTTAGGAAAGCTAGATAATAATTTCTGCTTTTATATTAAATCAAGTGTCTTATCTTTCCATAATTCATAGCTTGATATTGCATTTTTAATTCACATCATTTTGAACTCTTCAGATCATGTTCTGTTTAGTTGATGGGACAGAAACCAGTTTTATTGAATTTAGCTGCTTTCTRGACTATGTCAGTATAATCTTATTTCAGATTTGCTGCCCAAAATGAGAGGGTCARTCTGTTTCTTAGCCTGAGATCTTAACACAGGGATGCTGCTTGTGGAGCAGTAGTAGGAAAAGAAATCCTGGTTGTGAAGCACTGGGATGCTTTAATGAGCTTAGCAGAGAATTAATTTCACTAACAGTAAATGTGTTTTAGACCAGTTTGGATTGTTTGAAATAGAGAACCCTCCAGCCATGAGCTAGGCAATGAAGAAGATTGCCTGCCATCTATTCTCGTGCTCTAAATGGGCAGAAATAAACTAAATGATTATCACAATGTGGATAAAATCTAGTTGTACTTCCACGTGCTGCTAAATCAACATTCAGTGAGATTTCACTACTACTCCAACACACTTTTTTCCTTGCACTCTCTAGAGTGATGAAAGCTGCAAAGATTATCAATATCAATTGTGYCTTAACCTGAATACCAACCCATGKTTCTGCTTGATGTTAAAGGTTTTTYCTGCTCTCTGTRATTCCAGGTAACAGTGCTTTCAAGGCACCTGATGAATTCAAGGTCTCCCTTCCCCTCCGCACAAATTACTTGTACGGGAAGATCAAGAAGACTCTGCCAGAGCTCTACGCCTTCACCGTGTGCTTGTGGCTGAGGTCAAGTGCTTCTCCTGGAATTGGCACTCCCTTCTCTTATGCTGTTCCTGGGCAAGCCAATGAAATTGTGCTCATAGAGTGGGGCAATAATCCAATTGAACTGCTAATTAATGATAAGGTAAGACTTGACCGACCCTTCATGTCAGGGTAACCTTTCCTCTACTGCAAGAATTGTTACAGTATTTCTTTGAASTGTAGAAGTGAGACTTGTTAAAATGAGCTTTGCAGAGAACAGAGCAGAAGGCACATAATGGTGTGGTTTTGTCATGCTTAGTGACTGAACACCCGTTTTTTCAGATTTTGGGTACAAAAAGTAGCAATTGTCTCACACTGCTTCATACCTCTGGTTTCTGACAAGCTTCAGAATGAGGTTTGAAGGTAACAAGGCCCATTGAAACTGGCATTAAAGCAGTCCATAAATGCTTCCTTTCCTGCAGTTAGGTTTCCTGGTAACTCACTGCTCTCTGAGGGATCAGGTGTTTACTMCACAACTCGGGTTCTTCATCTTGTGGCTGATTATGGACTTGTAACAGTCCTACCATCCTCCCAGATCAATAAACCAATTACTTTTAGTGGTTTGTGGAAGAGAAGCAAACTTGAGTCTGCTTATCTTTAGCAATAACTTTTTCCTCTTCAATATTATGTCTGTAGTGTCAATATTCTGGGATTGATTGTTCCACATCACAGCTCCTCCATAGCCCAATGCATTTGTGTCTTGATGTTGACCTGAGTAAATTTTCAGATTGAACTCCTAAAGAATCATAATTCCTCCTTATTGTGAGACCTGTGAAACAGTTCCCACGAGTTTTCCTGGTAGCAGACAGATCCCTTTGTCAAATTTGTTGCTGCAAATGATGCTGGCAAACCCCAGATTTTAAKGGGAACTTAACAGGAACGCTGGGTGGAAAGTTATGAGTAAGAATTGAGATTTAAACAGCAAAGCCACWGGTTAATATGCAGGATGGTTGGTCTCTTCTACCAAGCAACAGGAAAAGAGGAAATGGCCACAAGTTGTGCCAGGGGAAGTTTTGATTCAGTATGAGGAGGAATTTCTTTGCTGAGAGGGTTGGCAAGCACTGGAATGTGCTGCTGTGCAGAAGAGGTGACACTTGGGGACATGGGTGAGTGATGGCCTTGGCAGTGCTGGGTTAATGGTTGCACTTGGTGATCTTGGAGGGATTTTCCAACCTAAATMATTYTATGATTCTGTGGAATCCTACCAAGCAGGATGTGAACTAACTTCTGCCTCTAAAATGTTTGTTTTGAGGGCAGAGTAAATACTGTCCCTCTTTACATGTTGGGCTTGAAGTCTAGATTTGGGTTTTCACATGYCTTATTCTGCTTTTTATAGGTTGCCCAGCTCCCTCTCTTCATTAGTGATGGAAAATGGCATCATATCTGCATAACATGGACAACCAGAGATGGAATGTGGGAAGCTTTTCAGGACGGAGAGAAGCTTGGCACTGGGGAGAACCTTGCACCTTGGCATCCAATTAAACCTGGAGGTGTCTTGATCCTGGGTCAGGAGCAGGTGAGTGAATGACAGGGTGTTCCAGGGTTTAAAGAAAAACAAAACTCCCCAAACAAACAAGAGCTGTGAGATTTTCTCTGTTAAACACCTGGTCCACTTGTGTACACAGTATCAGAAAGGCTGGAACAAGGCAACAAATAATTAATGCAATCCCAGACTGGTATATTTGTCTAATTTATTAAATATTTGGAATATTCATGTTGTTGTTAAGAAGTCCTGTTAGAATGTTGAAAAAAACTCAAAGGATTTTGAAGCAAATTAACATCTGATAAGTAATTGCCTGTGAATTGTGTGGCTCTTGGCTTCACATTTTTTCTCTACCTGTATTATTCACTTACTAAAAACAGTAAATTTGTAACAAGTAGCAGGAAATAGCCTTTCTTTGGGATTCCCAACTTCACAGTGGAGCAATGAAAAATTAGTTTTGTCTTGATATTGATTTTAGAAGCTACTTGTCCATGACATAAATGACAGAATGGCAAGTCCAGCATCCTGATCCCCTCTGCAGAGCAGATGCTGCAGCTCAGTGCTGAGTGCCTGGCAGGGTTTCTGTGTCTCTGTGATGCCATTTTCCTGCMCTGTGCTTGGCTGTGTGCTGTGCTCTCAGCTCCATGTCAGTGTGATCACCACCAGTGAGTGATTCCTGTCCTTGGGTACTGAATGCAGCGAGCAAACACTTCCAGGCTGATGCAGTGGCAGTTTGAATCCCTCATTTGTTAGAAGCAGATAAAGCCTTTGTGTTTAGAGCCAAAGATCACATCTTACAGGCCCTGCAGACAATTGGCCAAGGGCTGCAGTTGTGGTTTAATCTACAGCCATAAAGCTTTCAGGGTAACCTTGCACATCTATGCTGCTCTTGCTGGACKTGTCCTGTGCCAAGCTTGCAAAGTGGCTCTTGAAGCAGCCTCAAAATGCAAAGCTGCCTTCCTGCTCTGCTGCTGGGGGCAGGGCTGGAGATGTGCAGCCTTTKTGGGATGTTTTGCAGTCACCACTGTTTGCCTTCAGTTGGTTTGATACGATTCAGGTTGGAGCTTTTCCTGTTCCTTGGAAATCCTTGTTGAGTGTGGCCCTTTTAGAAACTTTAACTTGTTCACCTCTGTGACCTGACTCTGTGCCACTTTCTGGCAGTGGGGCAGGGTGGGGAGGGACTTGAARTTTGAAGAAGACAATGCCAAAATAACCTTCTCCTCTAATCCAAACTCTCCTGTGCCCAAAGGACACGGTGGGAGGAAGATTCGATGCAACTCAAGCCTTCGTTGGGGAGATGAGCCAGTTCAATATATGGGACAGGGTGTTGAAAGCTGAAGACATCATGAATATTGCCAACTGCTCCATCAACATGCCTGGCAACATCATCCCCTGGGTGGACAACAACGTGGATGTGTTTGGAGGTGCTACTAAATGGCCTGTGGAGACCTGTGAGGAGCGTCTGCTCGACCTGTAGCTGTGATCACTCCCCATCCAAGTGCCCCCTTTAGTAGGACAATCTCCTGTGCAATCTAAAGCACTTCTTTTTCTCCTTTCCCTTCCCCAGTCTCAACCCTTATTGAAAGAAAAAAAACAATTGAGTAAACTGCCTCAGTGCAAAGATAGCTGCTAGTTTGGGGCATTGAGCCTGACTATGAAAGGAGCACTTCTTGCTTTCTTCTGGCCTGATCCAAAAACAYGCTTTGGCCTGCAGCAGCCTTTGTGGGCCTGAGCTTAGAACATCAGCTCTTCTGCAGGGAGGAGAGCACTCTGCACCCTCAGGTTCCTGGTGATTTAACAGGCTAAATGGGAACCCTTCCTTCCAGTCTCTCCTCTGAATTGAAGCCATTCTTTTATAGCCCTTTTTAAAAAAAAAATAAAAAAATCTCTTAATCCTTACACTGCAGTGGTTATGGTGCAACTGTGGGTAGAGCAGAACAGCCACTGTCTGAGTGCAAGGCTTTTGCTTTTTAATTTGCAGATTAGAAATCCTTGTTTTATGATAAAGAGGTGATGTATTTGAGACACATTGTACCAGTTCAATTTGAAGAAAGGGCTGTTGAATCAGCACAGCTCCAATGAGGCAGAGGTGCTTCAGGTGAGGTTCTGTCCCAAAGCCTTTCCTTTGCTAGCCAGGATCACCCAGCTGGGTGAGAGATTGTACTTGTATTTCCTGTGGGCTGAATGTACTGAATTCCTACTGACCTGGCTTGTAAACTTTTCTCCATTGTTTCTCTTGCTTCAGTCAATGTCTTTATTTTTTTTTTTAAATATACAAGCTGTGATTAAGTGAATTTCCATTTTGTTTTGCTTTGAAAGGCCTTTTTATGAGCAAGTGCCAAAGTTCAGTTTCTGCTTGCTGAGAATTGCTCTCTACTTTTCCAGCATAAAAGTCTTCTGCACTGGTTTCTATGTTATTACAATGGTCCAATGTAATATGAARATGTGCTGCTTTTTCAATTCTTGTTGACTGTCTCTTCTGTAAGCACTGGGCTGACTACTATATTTTTTTATCATTTTCTCTCAATATTTTGCAAACAATGTTGCTGTTTCCTTGGCATTGATGTGACTACTTGGTTTGTGGCTCGCAGATAGCAAATGCACTGTAATGGGAAAGAGTTAATACTTTTGTTATTTAAAAGAAAAAGGATTTAAAGGGGGGGGAGGGGGAATTTATAAAGCTAAATATCATATTTTATTTTTCATATGTTTGAATTGTAAGAATAATATGGTGACAGTCCCATTTGTAGGGTAAAGTTACATATTTCCATGAATATGTAGTATGCTGTTCTTAAAAGAAAATTCTTATAATGAACTTTTAATTAAAATGCACTGTAAAATGAGACTCTTAATTCTTTTATGGTCACAAGACAGTGAATATTCTCTTTCATAGCTTCTATGAACTCAACTGCTGTCTCTCTAGACTGGTAGAAGTACAGAATTCCTAAATCCCAACCTTCAAKCAAAGGGGGCTGAGGTGTAGTACCTTTTCATTAAGAAGGAAAAATGTGTTGATTTTTTTTTTTTTTAAATTTTTTTACCTTTATCTCGGGAGTGGGAAGCTGTGGCTGTTACCCACTGCTGCACATCCTGGGAGTCACATGTTTTCTGTGAATATAGAAGCAGATGGCAAAACAGGAGTAAATATTACCCCATCCCAGCATCCATATTGCTCACAACACAACCTTCAGTTCCCAAACTGCTCTGAATGCACAGGAGAAATAACTTATGGAATGTGTGACAGTGCTTGGAATGTGCACTAAGGCAGATTTGTAGAAAATGTGGATTTAAGAGCAGGCAGAGCTGACTCCTAAAAGCAGCACCTTTGATCCCAACAAGTCAGCTGGGCATTCACTGCAGGCTGTGAATGCTCCTCAGTCTCTGTATTCACCCMTCCTTGATGAACTGGCTGTTGGCTGACAAAAATAAATAAATTAATTCACTTTTTAATGGCTACAATACCTAAGGAAAACTGCTGCTCCATACCATTTGGCCACTCCTGTTTAACCCACAACCCTTCCTCCCACTTCTACATTTGG